TATGCCCAAATGGATTGTTTCCTCTCAACTTGACTTTTCCTTGACAATTTGTGTCTGTGAACACCCATTTTTTTGTCTTTCTCCATCGCATTTTCAATGGCAGGGGTAACATCATGACTGAGGGTGGACTTACGTCAATTTATCCAGTCACTGCTTTTTCTCTGGGTTTTTGATTGAGGGAGTAGTGGACTAGGCTTTACTTTTCGATTAGACTGCATCTTTAGTGAATGCTAGCTACCAATTTGTGCCCACATATAGTGTTACAGCACTACTCCTCCCCCCTTGTGAGAAAAAATTTTAAATTTAATTTTTGTTTAAAATTTGTACTTTTGTTATCAACCATTGCTTAGGTAAATTTCTATGAAATCTAAAGATATTTTAGAAAATGCAGTGGTATTAGACTATAAATGAATATTATGATTGAAAATTTTTACAGTTACAATGGGTCCTAAACCTATGATTTTGTCTATAAATAGATTTGTGATTTCTTCATTCTGGAATTCTAATAAGTATTTATAAAAAATCTCTATATTGGTTATTTGCAGAAATGAAGGTGACTTGGATAGGATTGTAATCAAAAGTATAAAAATAAAATTTACCTTGTACCTTGTACACAAGGCACATTTCAAATTGAATATTAAAAACAAATCTGGAAACATTTCCTTTTTTGCAAGAAAATTTTTTACTTAAAGTAACTGGATTTTTAATTTGACTTGAGTTATCATATAAAAAAGCTTTTGATTTATTATTAACTTAATAAGTTAAATAACTTATACGTATAAAATATTATACATTTAATGCTTATTTTGATAATATGCAATTTAATTCATTCTTATGGATGATGTAATTCCTATTTCTTTTAGTTATAATCTATACGATTCTAATATAAAAATAGGACTCCTTTGGAAAATACTAAATACCGTGAATTTTTGAATTCATTGCAACATTTTTCTAAATAGAGTAATATTAAAAAAGTTTTCCATATCTCATCATTAAGACCTTGAGAATTAAATAAATTTAAAAAGTTGACACTTAATTTCATGTCATCACTAATCTTAAAACTTCCATCTGCTTATGCAAATTCAATCAAACTTTCATACGTAGGTTTAGCCTTTAAATCTTATGCTTTAGATTATTATGGAAAATCTAAATTTCAATTGTTTGGAGCTTAATTTATTTAATTTGGTAAGTTGTTTATTGAAAAAATTTATTTCTTTTGGTTCAGAACATCCCTATCTTGATGAAAGCCCAAAGATTTTTGTTAAGGGATAAAACATTGTTCTTAAGGTACCGTTTTCTATTGTGGTTTTAACGGTGGTTGTGATGATGTGCATATTTTTTGAGGTGGTGGTGGCGGCAGTGGTATACACATTGATTTAGATAATGGTAGGCAAATTGATTGAACTGGGAGTGGCGGTATGCAATTTTATTGGAGTGGTGGTGGAGTGGTGGTATGTTACACATTGCTTATATTTTTTAACAGGCTTGTTTTTTGCAATTCTTAAGACGAGGCTTGCACACTTTTGGTTTAAACCATTCGCTTTGTTCCTCTCATTCGGATTATAAACTAGAGTGGTTAATAGTAATTTTAGATCTAATTTACTATTTTAATTGATCTTCTAATTCGCATATTTCACAAATAAATGCTGTTTTATTACTTAATATTTGATTTTCTATAAATAAATTCACTATATCCTTATCTTCAATTAACTTGTTGTTATCCATATCTTAAAGCATTTTCGTAATATATGTGCAGCTAATTTATGAAAATATTCATTGTCTTGCGATTAAGCTAAGATTAAATTGACAGAATACTTTATTGGTTTTATATTTTATGGGTCAAAGCAATTAATACTAAATTCAATATCCTACTAATTCGGTTCATTGGAAAATAGAATTTAAATAGTGAGTTCTTAATTTTTCTTCAAACTAATTATTGATTCTGGATTAGGAATTATTGAAAAGATGGTTTATACATTAGTTTCTAATTTGAAATCTTTTAAATATGGGGTTAATAAATCTTCCAATAAATCAATTACTTTTTCATTAATATCTTCATCTTCTCTTACTAATGAAATTTCCCATTACCAACTTCAGCAACTCTTTTAATTAAATAATAACTTCAACCTTCTCCTATTCCTAATGTATAGATTCTCGTTTCTGCTCGATTGTTATCCTTAACTAATTAAATTATTGGATCTGCATCATCTTTCCCATCTTTTAACAAAAACAAATTTAATGTGGTATTATTTGAATTTCTGTAACTGCTATTGTATATTTTTTCTTTGAAAGGTTTATAAATATTTGTCCCTCCAAAATCTGCTGTCATATTTTCTACATGTTAAATAGCTTCTTATAAAGTATCTTAGGCATATTACATTGATTCATTCCAAAGAGAGAGATATTTACTATCAGTATTATTATTACCAAATGATATGTTATTAAATAAAGAATTTTAAGGCAAAATTTTTAGAAATAGAATTAATGATTTTTTTGCTTTTTCAATTTTAGATCCATCCATTGATCCACTTCTATCAATAATGAATAAATAGTTCCCTCTATTAATGACTTATTTCTATGGTAAGGTTATACTTTCAATGTATTTATAGGGATCGTCTAATGATATTTAATTAAATTATGGAATAAAAGTTAATGTGGCACAATATTTCTAAATCAATAAAGCATCATTGTTTGTATGCTTAATATTGCTCTAGGTAGATTAATATCATCAGATGAAAAAAGTAATGTAAATTTCTATATGGATTATAATTTTCAGTGATAAAGATAAATACGGATAAATTCTTAAAACATTCCAAACTTGATTATAAAAAAAGAAAATTGAAAAGAAATTAATTATATCTTCTAGTTTAAGAAATAATTTATTACAGTTTTCCTGTTATTTAACTTGATATATAAACTATGAGTTGGAGATTTCCAATAAGTAATAGATGATCCAGTATCTAATATTATCTCAATATTTTATTTATAGTGAAATGTAAAGTCTCTGAGGTTAAGTATGCCATTTAAGTATTTTAAAACCTTTTTAAATCCAACTGGAATTTTCTCTCTGTTGCTTTAATAATTTTGATCAATTTGTTTAAAAATACTTCTAAAGATTGAATATATTCGAAAATCACTTTTAATTATTTATTTGGAGCAAGCTAGCCTATTTTGAGTCTTTTTATTTATGAAAATCTTAAATCTTCCTCACTATAAGCCATAGTTTTTCCTTGTTTGACTCCTTCATCAAATTCTTGCTTTGCTTCTTCTTTTTCCTTTACTATCCCATAAACTGTTTATTCTCCTAATTCAACTTTCATTTTAGTGACAGCAGCGTTTTTCATTGATTGAAAATACATATTCAAGGTCTAAAGAGCCACCAAACCTTTCAGTAGACTATATTTTTTCTAATTTCACTATTTATAATCCTTTATGTATTTTTAAATGATAATTATTGTTCTTCAATGGTATTATCACTCCCTTATTCTATTCGAAGCGGACGGAAAGTTATAATGGACTTATAACTTAATTGTCTTCTTATTAATCTTGCCTCACTCTCCTATTGTTATTGCTATTTAAAATTGAAGGTATGTAGAAAAAGCTGCTAATCATTTTATTTTATATATTATTATTTTTTACTAATATTAAATTATGATTTTTCAATATTTGATACTTTCGGATATTATAATAGTATTAAATAAAATAATAAACATAATATAATAAT